CACGCACGCACGCACAGAGAGACACATGTGCGCACAAAGACGAACACAGCATCACCAGCTCAGGTTTGGCTTCGCCTCCTTCTGCTTCGTGGGGGAATCCGGAATGAAGACCTGTTCGGCTGGTCCCGCTGGGCGAGGACGAAGTCTCCTTAACCACGTTTAAACTTCAGAACATGTTCTGACGAACATGGCCCAGCTAGAAAGTGCACAGCGCCTAGCAAATCATCGAAGACACCAAGGGGCAACGACTCTGTCGTGACTGCACCCTTTGTCGCAATACCTTGGTGGAGCAGTCCAGTTGTACGGCATGCTTCTGCAGAGATGATTCTGCGGTTCAACATGATTCCGTGACAACGAGTAGCCTGAGGACACGCCTATCTGTTGCACCATCTCCCCTCCCCGGCGCAACTCCGCTCTGCACCCGTACCCGTCCGATCTAGGGTTCGGGGGGACTCCATCAAGGACCTTCCATCGGGCCAAGCAAACCGACTCACCTTCGCACGTTGGAAGCTTTCCGGGTCAGACCCCGTGCCAGCGTCGGGCATGAATACCCCAGTTGCGGCTTGAGCTGCTCAGGAGGTCATCAATGACATTCGGAGCACTGATCACCTGCCACTGCACAAATCTGGCTTCCATTTCTGCTTACAAGAACAAAGTACATGGCAGATGGGGCAGCCCTGCCTTCGACGATTCATCCACACGATCTGCGAGCTTCTGAGTTTCCTCTTCCTGCAACACCTCCAGCAGATCCTGACATCTTTTCAATACCTGGGAGGTCGGAGAACACCGCATCCAGGCAGACGTTCCAAACAGGTCAATTGAAAACTATGAGCGAACATGACCGCCTTTCTGCAAACGGCGCAAGCCCCAAGCTAACTGAAACTACGAGCTGAATCGTTTTGAAGTCATGGCAGCGAGGCCCAGGAGCCCTGCACATGCCGCCACCCCACCCTCCCCATTAGAGAAGGCATCTGCCACGATCGCTTGCTGCAAGAGCTCCGATAAGCTATCGATGGGCAACTGCCAAGGTGCCAGCTGATCCAATCGCCACTGACGGTGCCTCTCACGGTCTTCGAAAGTCTGCAAGTCCCCCAGTCTTGTACTGGCTTGGAACTTGTCGGTCTTCTCATCGGCAGCGCGTCTTCGCCGCACACCTCTAAGCTCGCCTGCGAGAAGCTCTGCAAACGGCTGGAGCTGCTCACGCTCAACTCGGCGTAGTACACTTGCCCAAACATCCAACTGAAAATCTCGTGCTTCAAGTGCTCGATGCAATCGTTCTCGAAGCTGTCGAACCTGACTGGTGGAGATGGGCGAAGTGCCGAGTAAGGCTTCCATACAGCGGGTGCCAACATAGTACTGCTCAGCTCGCATTTTGCGAGGGTGCTTCCACTCGGGCGGGTCTCCTTTCGACCGTCTCAGATAGCAGCGCACACGAAATGTCCGCTCTGTGTAACACTTTTGACTGCACACGGCACATCGCGCCGAGCTTCGCTGTATCTCCATGAGGGGGCCAGCCATCTTTGGATCATGCGAAAAGACATGGCTCTCTTGCTGAACGACCCAGACGAACTTTGTCCGATTCAGGGGCATCATTGGCTCCCTGTCAGAGAGGAAAGCAGCCTTTTTCTTCAAGGTTTCCTCACACCCGGATGGATCTGGCTGTCCCTCAACATAGTCCGGCACCACATCCCTGACCAACTCTGATGTGCTGGCTTGGGGCTCCAGAGCCTTCCTCTTCCGGGCCACAGCCTTCGGCTGTGGAAGCATTGCCCTTGCTGTCCTCTGTGGCTCTGTGACCTGCTTACGTGGCTTCACTTCGGGTGGAGCTTCCTTGCGAGGAAGCTCGACCAGTGAGAAGAGGCTATCATCCTCCCTTGGCTGCCGGCCACCCTCCAGAGCTGTCCTCGCGCGTTTCGCAACTCCTTTGTCTCCGTCCGTTGCAGCAGATGCAGGTGGTCTCGGAGATGAACTCCTCGACGCGGCGCCGGAGCCTATGCTTGCCCCTGGCTGCGGCACAGCCATTTCGGGCGTAGGCTTCAGGGTTGAGGCAAGAGGATTTGTGCCTTTGCTGAGATTGTCGTGCTTTGCAGCAACACTTGCAGCTCCGTCATCAGCTGCGGCTTCTGGCTTGCAGTAGGTGACATAGCCCTTGGCGAAATCATTCTCGAAGTCTTGTTTGGCAAAACTGCCGAGAGCTAAAGAAATCTCATGGAACTCGGAGACTGTTTTCGCAGCCTTGTACTTCTCATATCTCGCATGCGCAGCCGAGGCCTTCCTCTTTGGATTCTCTTCTCGGAATCGAATCTGCCCAGTAGGGTCAAGCCTCAAGGTGGCATTAAAATCTACAGCCACCATGTAGTGCTCTGGCAACGCATGGCGGTAAAGATGGCGATGGACATCTGACAAAGCTGGGTAATTGTACGCCGTCGACGCCCTGAACTCTGCATACCTACACAGGCAACCCTAAGGGCTTTAAAGGTACTGTGCATCTGGCCATCTCTGTTTCTACGAGCCTTGCTATCGCTCATTTAGGTGTGTATTTGCGATATTCAGGACATGGCTGCGACACCACGTGCCCCCTAGGCACTCCCGAGAGTTGCAACCACACACTGCACCTGAAACTGTGAAGCACAGCCATTCGCATTGCAAGGCCACTCTTTTTCTAGTTTTGCTGTTACCGCGAAAAACTACAATCGACTTGGCACATTCTGCCTTTGGCCTGTGCACACACTCGCACAACCGGTCGTTGGACAGCACAGTCTTTCAAAGTGCATATAGACTGCATATCAACACCTGCACAGCATTCCGCTGTCCAACCGGCACCTCTCGTGAGCACTTATATGATGACACGGACACCGCAATGACTGCAACCCTGGCGAACCCAGCACCTGCTATCATCTTGCAAGGGCACTCGCCTAAGCCCCGGTTTGCAGCTTGTCCTACCTGGGGCTCGTTATACCCGACTGAAATATGTCACCCCAGGAGCCATGGCACACATTTCACGAGCAAGATCGAGCAATATAAGTTGCTTGTGACCTGCAATCGTAGCTTGGAAGGGCACAATGATTTCGTAGTGGATTCTGATGCTCTGTCGAGAGTGGGGGCTCCGCATGTTAACAACTAGCATCTCATCAGGTCCAAAGCGATCTTAAAATGCTAAGGCTGAAGCTTCGCCCGATCCTGGGATAACAAGCGAGCTCAGCCAAACTTACTAATCGATATGGCACCGCATCGGGATTCGGCAGAGCACCTGCGCTGCTCGTCCACTGTAACCCGCATGAGCCGCAAGCACCGTGAGCCAGTTGGGGGTGAGGCAGGGGGGAATTTTGGTGCGCCTGCTGCAGCCTCTCTGCACGGTGAGGCGCCCCGGATGGCTGAGGGTGCTTAGGTGATGACGGTGGGCTCCGTTCGGCCGGTCAGCCTTAGCTGCATGAGAATCAGCAGTTTGGACTTAAGACTCCTCTGCAGCTTTCGGAACTTTTGACTGTGGCTTCCCATGACTCCAGTCCCTTTGCAATGCCAAATAACGCAGCAAGTCTTAACGGCCCCGCCCTCTTAGAAGTAGTGCTAAGCGCTCTCAGCCGAAACATCAGACACCCCAGCTCAAACCCAGCTCAGTGGCCCGGTGAGGTCGGAGAGGCTCAGCGCCAGCTCGGCCAGCGGCTTCACCACCTGTCAGAAGAGACAAAAACCATTCAAAAGTGATTTCCTGCCTTTGTTGGTGGCTCCTGTGGGCGTCGTCGGGCGATGGATTGCAGGGCATTGTTCCACGGTGCGAGCTGGAATGCAGACCGAGGAAAGGACATGGGCGCAGAATTAATTCAGGCTTTGGTTTGTGGTTCTGTGGGTGTTTGTTGTTTTCTGTTTTGTACCACAGGCCGAGGTGCGACAGGCCTAGGTACGACTGGGCTTGTGATGGCGATTGCGGTTCATCATATGTCAGATATCTTAGACACGCCCTCTCATTTGGCGACTCGGTTCATCATGTATCTTCAACATGCCCCCCTCATTTGGCGATTCCGGTTCATCATGTATCTTAAACACGCCCCCTCACATGGCGAGTCCGGTTCACCATGCATCTTAGACATGCCCCCTCATCTGTGGCGACATGCATGTCTTCCGCCCCCCCTCCTCATTTCGCGACTCCGGTTCAATATATCTTAAACACGCCCCCTCATTTGGCGATTCCGGCTCATGTCAGCGATTCCGGTCCATCATTTATCTTAAACACGTCCCATCTTTTGGCGATTCCGGTTCACCATATATCCTAAACCCGCGGACCAAAAGACCAGAGGACACGAGAGGACCACTTTTGTGATGCTTACCATTTTTGATGCTGATCAATGTTGTGATGCCTATGCCACAAAGCAGCAGGCAAAAAGCAGAAAGCGAAGAGCAAGAAAACAAAAGCCGTCAAGCAGCAAGCAGAAAACAAAAAACCAACAAGAAAACCCACAAAAACCTGGGAAGAACACACTTCCAAAGGACATGACTCTAATTTGCGCTGGTGCGCTATGCCACCTTACATTTAACAACATCCGGGTCACAGCAAGCTGTGTATCATTTGCCACAGACCCGGGCGGCCGAGCTTGTCTTTCGAATGCCGGCCCTAAGTTTCGAGAATCAGCTTCGAATCCGCCAAGCCTTGGGTCCTTCTCTCCTGTCGTAAGAGACGTCCGGCAGGCATAAGGAGGGCGACAAACTCACAAAAGCCCGAATGCCCGAATCCATAAAAGACCAGCTGTTAAGAGCCTTGCACCGTCATGTCTTCTTCCTCTGTGCCATATGTCGTGGGCTTCACACTTAGGCTAGACATGTTTGAGTATGGATGACCTTCTAGGTTCAACTACAAGTACCAGGGGGGCCGTCCTTCTTTCCTCAGGGCCGTTACGCCGATCTTCACCTCAAACGTTGCTACAATCTTGTAGGTGGCCCGCTTTAGAGATCTGAGTTTTCCGACTTGTGCAACAGGCATCGCATTCTGCAGATTTGCAGTGGCCCAACTTGGCACGCCTTCCCATAAGGTCGCTTGAACCCGGGATGTGACCGGCCTCGAACTGCGACAAGCCCAGGTTTCCTGAAGGTTTCTCATACCTTGGGTTCAGGGCACTACACCTTATCAGTGCTTGCAAGGACCAGTAACCGCACACGGATTGTCCCAAGTATATAGCTGGTACCCCGAATCGCTGCAATGTGAGAGAATTGAATCTCTTTTTTGAGGAGGAGCTGCGGTGTACATGGCTTCATTCTTTCTTTTTTTGTACCGGTACTGAAGCCGAGGCGTTCTAAAAGTCGAATTCCGACTGAAGCGGACTCAGAAAAGATAATATGAAAACCAGCTGTCCAGGCGGCTTCTCCAAGTACAAACGGATCGTTGCACCGGCAGACCCAGTCCCGCTAAGGCGGAAGACGATGCGGGAGCCATCGGTGAATATGATCCTTGAATCTGGGGGGCCATACGCCAAGAAACCAATTACGGAAACCGGCTGCCGGAGTACAGCGAAGGTCGCTATGAGAACCAAAGATTATGCAGGACATGCTGCTACAGTGGCACCCGGCACACACTCACACACACGCACACGCACGTGCACACCCACATGCACTCTCATTCGCTTCACTCGCTCGCACTCACCGTCGCTCTCTCCATCTCGCATTTACTGGACTGATTTTCTATGCTTCGCTCCCGAATGGATGGAAGGATAGATGAACAGCGAGGGTTCGGCAGGTAGGAAAGCAGTAGGAAGGTAGGTAGGTAGGTAGGTAGGTAGGTAGGTAGGTAGGTAGGTATGTAGGTAGGTAGGTAGGCGGCTTGGTGGCTGGTGCGTGCAACTGCCTTTTTTGCAGCATCTCTCTCCGTATGGCATTTCTCTTAGGTCAGGTAACAAATATACACAAACATAGACACACTCACGCACAATCACGCACCTTTATGCACGTTCAAGCTCGAGCATACCGCATCAACGACACTCTATCTGCGAAGGCCTTCCCATTCCAAACAGTTTAAACACGGGCGACGGATTCGCGGTATCCGCAACCTGCAATGTGAAATCTTTGCGTGGCCACGGATCTTAATGCCCTGGTTCGAAGACACGGATTTGTCCACTGGGTCGTGGTACTCAAAGCTTTCTGCCGACTCCACTGTCATGCCCTTGATTTCTTGACCTGGCGAGGATGCAGCCGTTCCGCGCTTGAAATAGAGTCGTTCTTGCCCCCTGCATTACTGAATGAGTCGCTGGGTATAGGCAGAGAAACACATTGGTTTTTGCAGTTAGCAGCAAGACACGGCATGGCTGACACATGCTGACACAAAGTGGTTTGTCACTGCCACTTATGCTCTCTGCCTTTCAGGGTGTCGCACTTCTCCTTCAAGTTTGCCATCATGGTGTTGGCACCCTCGGAGGCCACCCCCTCGTAGTCATAGCGGCAGTAGTAGTTTCGGCCGTATGTCTTCCAATGGTCCATGGTGACTGCCTCCACTGTCACCAGTGGCTTGGACTCATCCTTGTTTTTGCTTGCGAGAATCTGAAGCCAGGCCAGCACAGCCCACATGCCATCCTTCTCTCGAACGTGGTTACCACCGGTGCCAAAACTTTCTTCACCACAAATAAATGGAGTGTAGCACTCAGTATCAGGGAAGTACTTCTCATCGCCAGAATCCATCAGATTCCCGAAGAACTTCCAGCCAGTCGGAGTCACGAAGCATGGAATCTTCTTCCTTGGACTTACCCGAAACGTAGAAGCTTCATGACTTAATGCCCCACAGCTATCGATCGCGTTCTTGATTCCCTGCCCCTACTCCCCGGCAATTCTTCACAACAGAAGCATCCCACGTGACAGCGTTCACGAACAACCGTGAAATTTAGAGACCTAGGCTCATAATTACGTACAAGTATGTATGTATGCATGTATATATACATATATACATATATATTAATATATAAGTTTGCCAGATCTTCACCGCTCGAGAACTTGCTGAACAGCCAACGATCACACACAGACTATTTTGGTGCGGCCGCAACGTGGGAATCGGCCACAGACCAAAACTCTACCATCTCAGAGCTTCATCATTCCGAACGGATGCTTCGATCACCGCAGGGGGGCACCACATAGCTGGCGATCGCTCCGCATTCATCCGAACGAACATATCAGACGAGATATTCCTCGCGAACTGAAAAGAAAACGGCGAGGATCTAACAGTCCTCGATTGAATCCGTGGGCGAATCCGAAGCAACTTCGATCGGTTCTTCAAGAAGGGCATCACGCCGAAGGGCAGCGAAAGCCTCACGATTTGGCCCGCGGAGCACCGAGCGAAGCGGGATCTGCTCTTTTCACACTCGGAACAGACGACGGCTGAGGATCGGCAGCCTCGGCTTAAGCCGAGGGGCCGACGATGTCACAGTGTGCCTGACCTCGACCGCGGCATTATCAGGCACGAGCAGTCGAGGCGAACCGACAAGGACGGGATCAGTAGTCGGCTTGGCCATTTTGGCGATCAGCCGATCGGCTCGGATTTTCGATCCCACCCATTCCACCCCATTGATTTTTTCGGTGATCTCATGGCAGCTCTTGCCGGTCTTCAAGCTCTCGCTTATGGGACCTACGATGATCTTTGTCGACACTGTGTCGATTGTGGTCTTGTTTTGCGGCCGATCGCGTGCCGTCGGAAAATTGAGCGCAGGGGCAATCAGCCCCTCTCTGCACTGCCTCGATCGCGGAATGGAGATCTGCCTGCTCATCGTGCCCGGCCTACCGCTCAGCAAGCGGGGCTTGCCACAGCTCCGGATTAGCTCAGCCGGTGCAGTTCGCCTCTGAAGCGGGGCCAAAAGGGATCCCAAGGCCGCTCGGCGGGCCGCCTTTGCTCCGCGGGCCGGCCGATCCTGCTGGCCCTCCGAGGCCCTGCGCTCAAAGGAGGCTACGGGCTCGATGCTCGCCGTGCAGCTACGGATAAAGTGACCCCGGCCGTGTTCTTACGATCTGTAAACTGAACTCTGAATTCCTACCCACCAGACCGAAAATTTAAGAGACCCCATCTAACACAAAATCACACAGTACAAGACGATATAATGCAATATGCGATCATATAGTGTAATGTAATGGAAACATGCAAAAACAGGTAAGATAAGGTAAGATATAACAAGATAAGACACTTCTTTGCTACCAGGTCGAGGGCCCCGGAGGTCGGCATAGAGCGAGCGCAGCCTTTCAGCCCATCCTCTTCAGAGTTCGGCTTTGCGACACTACGAGTTGCTACTCTATGGAATTCCGCAGGTACCCTCAGTTTCACTGCAATGGTGGCGAAATCTGTCTCTCTGGGCCTTATTTACTGTAGGACTTCTTTGCACTGTCCTTGCTAAGACGTGCTAAGACTAGAAACTCAAGCCATTAGCACATCCGTCCTTGAAGAACGGAATGCAGCTGATGTTGGCCGCGATGATGGCGACGCTGTCAGAAGGACTTACAAACCATTGCTTTCCTGTGGTGCAGGAAGAATCTCTCGACGGCCAGCCCGGAAGATCAAAAAATTAGAAGCTTCAGTCTCCCATGCGACGGAGGGTCCTAAGATCATATTTCGATCCGCATCCCCATCAGCCGCTGCGCCGAAATCAGGCACTCCCTCACCGCTGCCGATCTTCTCACCTTCAACCACAGCTTTCACCCCTCTGCAAATTACGTGGCCCGAGACGTTTGGTAAGCGTAGTGCCCCGAAGACACGTGCAGTTCTCCTAGAAAGGTTGCAATGCGGCATCGTCTGTACTCTTCCCGCACCTGTCTTGTTGATGCCCATCGCCTTAACAAGCTCCACCTGCCAAAAAGCAGTCCCACCATGTTACATGTATGTCCACAGTCCTTCAACGACATGAAACTGAGCTAATGCACCGACATAATTAAGACCCTGCCCAGCATTGCTGGGATGATACAGTTAATGCTCCATTACACGAACTCTCTGTAGTAATCATCGCACACCGATTGACGACCCAGCAAGACGAAGACGGATGCCAATGAGATCGAAGACAGATGTCATGAGAATTGCAACCATAGTCAAATCGAGACGCCGCGTAGGTCAAGTTGGGATCCGCGTGGCCGTGGGAAGGGGAGTCCTTTCCGCCGAAATCCTCCAAGGCAGCGCACGGAACGTGCTTCCCATCCTTTGGGAACAGCTTCCCACAGGCACGGGCCAGTCCTCCTTCGGGATGGCATTCATCAGCGAAGATCTGAGCCCATCAGCGAAAGGACATTTGCAAGAGTCGCCGGAAGCCACACACACACATAAAAAAAAACACACACACACACAAAGAACCGGCGGACCAAATTCTTTAATGCTCCCTAGAACGAGCGCAGCCACATCATTCCATGTCCAAAGCTGGCTCTGCATAAGCTGCTCTGGATTCTTCATGCGTTCATTTATCATTATTCCTTCGATCGGGATGCGAGACATACCCGAAGAAGTTCACTTTGCTAGCAGACTTGGTTCTGGTAGAGTGCTGCAGTAGATGTCACTTCGGCCTCTAGCTCATCGGCGCAACCGATTCTAGTCAGCTTCTGCGCCAGCAGCTTTCCGGGAGGCTGCAGGGGGCACTTACAAATGCTTGACATTGCTTCCCTGTTTGCACTTCACAATGTGAAGGTCTTCCTGGATGTAGCAGAAGCACAGCATCATGCAGGGGTGCATGCAGGGGACGCTTGGTCGGTGGAGAGCCATGCAGGTGAGGTTGCATGAAAAAACTGTGCAGGATAGACATGACAGTGTACAGGGAATGCGCTGTGCACATCGGTGCAAACCGCTCGAAAGAAACCAGAGAATTTCAGCAGAAGGAGCAAACCGCTCGAAAGAGACTAGAGAATTTCAGCAGAAGGAGCAAACCGCTCGACAGAGACTGGAGACTTTCAGCAGAAGGAGCAAACCGCTCAAAATGAACTAGAGAATTTC